ACGCAGCATCGACAGGCTTCTTGTTAATTAAGCACAGAGGTCTGTAGAAAAAAAAAGTATGTGAACATGCAATGAACAACTTTAACAATACATGAGTAGATATGGGAGAGAATGGAGAAATAAAGTTTCACAGGTGACCTCACTGCTGTTAAAAATCAGGCACTCGTGATCTTAACGTCAAAAGTTTAATTTTAGTTTATAGAGTGTACTCAGTATATATCTATGTGTATATGCCTGTTTGTTACTGTAGACAGTCTGTTTGCCACAATGGACTTTCAGCTTCAGTATTTCCCTACGCAATAACAATTTGGGGAATCGGGAACTATTTTAACATAGTTTCAGCCGTTTCAGAAGTGCTCTAGGTGCCTCAGAGACAAGGAATGGCTTTATCGGGAGATAAAAGCGGGAAGGTAACCAGCTCCCACTGAACTTCACTGTGTTAGCCTCCTGAGAAATCCCACGACTCCCAGTCTCAAGGACCTGACCAGCCATGGTCTTCAGTCTTCAAAGCCTCAGGCATGTGCTGAGCTTGATGTTTGTGAATAAGCCCATTGTGTCCACCCACCTAAAACTCCACACGAGATGGAGGCCTAAGCAGGAGACAGATAGCCAAAGAATGAGGAGGAGGTGTAAGCAACGATGTTTCAGATGTATTTTTTTAGTTCTGTGATTGTGTCTGTCTTTCTTGCATGCTTGTCCTTTTTTTAAAGTTCTTTTGTGTGGGAAGAGCAGAAAAGCCTCCAGCTTTCTGGATTAAAAAAAACCTATAAAAAGATCACCACCACGTTTAACATAACTGCATTTACCATTATCTGTGTCCCTGTAACGTACCTCCAAATGAGGAAATTTAAAGGAAAAGGGAAAATGCTTGGAGTTTTGGTGTTGCCGTTGTTGTGTTCCTTTGGTTGGTTTCCTTCCAGCTTAAGCATTCTGTCTTCCTGGCTATGTGTTCGTTTCTTTGGAAACGGCCGTAGGATGGATTTTTGATTGACTGTGTTGTCAGATGGATTATCAGAGTTGTGAGCTTTTTGGAATGGTAGACATGAATGTGCAATAAGAAAAATATATTTTGTACTTAAAATGTTTCAAAATTTTGCATCATGAAAGAAGCTAGATTGAATATTTAACAGGTTACTTGGGGAAAAACTTTATTTTTTTTTAGAAAAGAAAGTCAACCGGTTTGGTTACTAGGAAAAAATTTCTCTTCATATGAGGAAAGGTTTTTACTAATGTGACTGATGGGAATATTAATACCTAAGCAATACAGAATAGTTTCTGCAGAGCTGCAACGCTTATTTTAAGCAGTAATTCTAACGTGTGGCTGCTCTGGATTACAAGCAGAAAACAGCTTTTACCCTGACCTATACACACATTTATTTGTTAACAGCACTTATGTGCCCGGATTTCTGCATGATTCCCATCTAGCGTTTCTGAGTTTGTTTCCTGTCTTAGTCAGGGCTCTGCAAGGCCAGCTGTCCTCGAGGCTGCGAGCGGTTTGGTGCTGCTCTGCTAGTGCTGGTGATGCTGAGGTCGGGGGCAGATTGCCGGCTGGAGGCTGGGGGTGACGTCAGCGCCTACCTTGCTGGGAGAGTTAATCTCCCGCTGGAGAGAGACTAATAATCTCCTGGCTGGGGAGACTGGCGTGTGAAGGATCGCATGTTGTACATTCCTCTTCTGGGGCTCTAAAGCAATCAGCAGAGTCGGTGCGTTTCTAAAGCTCTATTGACAAACACGTGTGCTTGTTAGACAGAGGTCATTTCTTCTTGGGGTGGAGGTGCATAGGCGCAGGAAAGAAAATTAACTTTTTAAAGGTGTGCATGTATGAAACGAGACCGAGCAGAATAACAAAACCAGGTTAGGGAGGTCCAGTATGTGAAACGAGCATGTAATTAATGGCACTGTAAGATAAACTATCTCTTTGTGGACATAAAAAAACCCCCAGAAACTAGATTTCAGCTGGGATCAAACTGGTTTCTTTAGCAAAACACAGCCCATCACACCGTGATGCTGTGCAAGCAAAGGTAGCCATCAGCCCCGACGCTGCTCTGATGGATTGACAGGAAGGGTCTCTGCTAACTTCCTTGGGAGTCAGTTCCAAGCGCCTGGGATAGCTGGTCACAGAAATTACATTGAGGACGAGGGGAAGGGAACAGGCCACAAGTTGCTCAGGCTTTTCTGTGATCTGGCGCGTGGTGCTTTTTGCAGGCCTTGTGCCACCCAGCAAACTGACCTGCTGGGACAGAACAGTTATTCCTTACTGAAGGCTACAGCCTTTCCGTGGCAGCCACTCGTTCCTTGGCTTTCAACTTCGGAGCAACAAGATGGAGTTGGGAGTAATGCGGGCACAACCCGGACGCCAGAAATGTCAGGAAGCCCAACGCACGGATGCTTCAAAGACACTGACGTTACTCGGTGCTAGACTCCTTAATATGCTCTGTTATTAAGCTGTTATTAGCTCTGTCTTAACCGACCTTTCTAGTTTTAATGGTATGAACTGCTGAGAGTACCTATCTATAGCAACGCTAACCCTTCATTCGCAGGAGGGCAGGGGCAGACGGACCGACTCCGGGCAGGCGGTACGCTTTTTGTCTCCCCTTTCCTCCACGCCCGCCGCGGTTCTGGGAGCAGCTCGGCCTCGACAGCGGCGGCAGCAAGCTGTGCCTTACCCCCTCGACAGCGGCGGTAGCAGGCTGTGCCTACCCGGAGTTTGCGTAACTGCCTTTCACCGCGCC